TTTTTTCCTTTCAAATTATCAAAGATGATCAAAGACAACAGATTGGAACTTCTCAAATCAATTCTTGTGCTCTTTCCTCAATCCACATCCATTCATTTACACGTCCAAACAGCAAAGACATACCGTGATCATGCAAAACCTGGATGTTGCGTGGAAGTTCGGTCTCGCCAAAGGTCTCCAGAGATCTCAGTCCTCCTCGTGCTCCTGCCTTTTGTCCCGCTGTCCTCAAAGCTTCTGACAGATGGCGGACGCCGGTGCCCTGGCTCTGCACTCCTTCAGCTTAGCCCAGATAAGCTCATCGACGTGGGACAAGCGAGGCTGCATCTCTGGGCCCTCCACGTCGCTCACCTCTGACTGGACTCAAAGTAAATCAAAAATGCTAAAAGAGGCGTTGCTAGTTTGATTGGAGAGGTCTGAGCGGGGCAGACTGAGGGCGAAGGAGTCCAGGCAAAGCTGTGGAAGGAGCCTGGGGTTAATGCTAACGAACCAGCGGGACGTAGCTTCGCCGCTAACGATTCTAGTTTGGAGTCAGGAGTTGTAAGACTAATGTGATAATGTGAGGAGGGTTTGTTGAACTTAGAGCATTGTCTTGTCAAAGTGCATGACACAGACCCCCACACACACCCCCCACACCCGCCTCCCTCCAGGCGCTGGCCGAGTAATGAGGCCAGAGTCGATACAATACTTTTCATTCTCTTTGCAGAAGGAAATGGGTCGAGCGAGCAGAAGTGGCATGGTCAATCAGGCTACACTGCGTTGCACCGGGACAATGATGCAAGCTGCAGGAGCGTGGGTGAGAGAGAGAGAGCCGAGAGAGTGCAAAGAGAGAGAGCAGAGAGACAGCAGAGAGAGACCAGCAAAGAGAGAGAGCAGAGAAAGAGCAGAGCAAGAGACCTGAGAGAGAGCAGAGAGCGAGAGGGATTTTTGAGAAGACAAGACCAGAAAATTCTGAAAATGTCCGTGCACGTGTGTGAAGAATGTATAAGTATTCTCCGATTAACATTTAAGTGTGTTTATTGAGCGTGGCGAGCTCCGGAGTGGCCGGAACTACTTGCGGAGTTATCCACGCATTTGAAAGACAAGCAGAGAGTGCGTTGCCAAAGGGCAGCGGTCATTATTGTTTTGAGAGGTCCGTTATAGAAAATAATGACCGGTAGAACGTTTTGAAATTACATTCAAATCAATGGAGCGTTCTACTGCTGCTCTGAGGAGCCGTATAATAAGGATTTATAATTTTGACTTAGATTTAGTAGGAGTGTTATTTCTGTTGTTTTAGAGGGGATTTACCAGAGTGCTTTAATCATTACCTCAACAAAAAATCATGGAGTGTCCAGTTAAAACAGTTGTCTCTCTGCTTTGTATGGCAACATCAGCTGTTGGTTAAGCGTTACAATAATGAATATGCATGTATGGATATATGTATTCCCACCTCTGCACCTTCTCCATCGACTCCCACTGATGACTGCTGTCGTTGTGTCCTTGGGCAAGACACTTAAACCCACTTTGCCCAAAGCCCCCACTGAAAGATCAAGGCTATGCTCACAGTCAGAGAGCAGCCGTCCTCCTGTGGACTCACCACCTGCAGAGGGTCAGTGAGGGGCTGGTGCTATGAGACTTGGGTGGCATCTCTGACTGTCACCCCCCTGACCCAGAAATGGATTAAAGGGTAGAAAATGGATGGATGGATGCATGTATGTATATATGTATGAGCATGTGTGTTTGTGTGTGTGTGTATGTGTATATACATATGTGTACGTGTGTGTGCGTATGTATGCGTGTATATATATATATATGGATATTTAATACCCCCTTAATACCCCTCTTATTTTTTTTTTCTCATCTTATTTTACTGTTATTGTTTTTAATTATTATTATTTATTATTTTTTGTTTTACTATTTGTAGTATTATTATGATTATTAGTATTTGTATTAAAATTCGGTTTAATTTATTTTTTATATATATATATATATTTTTCTCCTGGAACTGTAAAGGCAAAAAGTATAAAAGTATAAAAGTATAATACATTACTACAAGAAAACCAGGGCTTATTTTAATTTACTGACATAGGGGAAAACTGGATATTCAGCTTGTGGGGCAGAACAACACAATAGAACACACAAAGATTTCACTTTAGACATATTTCTTCATTGTCCATCTCGGAAAATGAAGCTCTCTACTTTTCCAACTCACAAAGACATTCAGTGCATGTTCAAATGCCCTGAACTTGACAATTACAGTCATTTGCTATTTTGCAAACGCTGTCACGCACTATCATTAATTTAATGAGGAAGCTGCTATGAGCTGCTGTCGCTACAATGACAAAAATAAATTACTTTTGTGTGTTGTCACTAAGTACACACAGTTCCTTTTATCTTGTGTTCGTTTTCCCGTGACGGAGAAAAAAAACCTCTTTTCATTTGACTAGCTCTTCAGATATAGCAAAATGCCTCTTCTTTGCATGATAATTCTCCCAACTGGATGTCATAATGACATCCAGTTGGGAGAATTATGTTGAGTTTGACCGCGTTGCAGCTTGTAGTAACAGCTTAAAATTGAGCTTAGCAGAGCAGAAAAGAGCCACGATATAAGCTGACCCGAACTCCAAATGTCCAGTCTTAAACAAAACTATAAATCCACTCCCCATAAATATGCAGCACTTTGCAGAATTAGTTTGCACCACTCGCACCGGCTTCGCATGTTTGCCTCTGTATAACTCGGGATCTAGTGTCAAGTTTAAAGTGGAGCCTCAATGCGTGTGTGAGTGAATTTCAAGTAATCCTGCAAACAATGGGCCTCATTCACGAACCGTACTTAAGAACAAATTTGTGCGTAAATCCTACTTACGAAGATTTTACGAAGATTGTGGTATTCATGAAATTTTCTCGTAACCAGAATTTCTCTTGGGTACGTACAAATCCTACGAATGCTCAGGAGCACTCGTACGCACATTCAGTGTCGACACGTTTGCACACTTGTGTTATGAAGTTCAATAAAACACAACATTACAGTGATATGTCCGTCATATTGATGTATGTATTTATTTATTTGTTGATGGTAATTTAGCCTATTTTTTAATTCATTTTGAAATGAAATGTTCCAACGTTTTATCAAATACATTGGAAATCTTGCCGTGTATTAGTGACCCCATCGTATTTATAGGGGGCATTTCTTTATCCACGGGTCACAGAACAATGGCATATATACTGCTGCTGCAGGAGGTTGCGGGGTCCGACTGCTAGTTCGACTTTATTCTCATAATATTTCGACTTTTAAGTCAACATTTTATTACTTTATTCTAAGTCTGGCAAAAGAAGAAAAAAGGGTGACTCTTTTGCTCCGTGTAACTCTTTGCTTTAGGCCCATATAAGGGACTGCAGGGCCGTGTGCAGACGCCAGAGGAAACAGCAACAGGCCAAAGAGTTACGGAGCCAAAAAGAGTCACCCTTTTTTCTTCTTTTGTCAGACTGAGAATAAAGTTATAAAACGTGTTGACTTTAAAGTCGAAATATTATGAGAATAAAGTCAAACTAGCAAAATTATGAGATTAATAAAAAAATATGAGATTAATCTCATTAATCATTATCATAACCGTAGCCCTATTAAAGATCCAATCAAAGAACCTTCCAGGAAATATCAAAAACACAGATGGTCATCAGTTCTATGGGATTTGATGATCACACTTGTTGGTCTAGCTCACTTTAACTGGAACAAGTCTGACTTTTTTGGATTTACTGTACCATATGGAGCTATTATTGTTTCAATAATATTTGTGTGTGCAAAAACAGATTTGTGTGTGCGTAAAAAGATGTGTGCGTGCGTAACCAGATTTGTGTGTGCGTAACCAGATTTGTGTGTGCGTAACCAGATTTGTGTGTGCGTAGAAAGATTTGTGTGTGTAAATAAAAAACGAATCTTTTGACGCACATTATTTGGCTCATTAGTTAGAACGGCGGAGATAGGCGTGACTCGTTCCTTTAATACAGTATATACAGTCTATGGTCCATCCATCCATCCGTCCATTTTCTACCCTTTAATCCATTTCTGGGTCAGGGGGGTGACAGTCAGAGATGCCACCCAAGTCTCATAGCACCAGCCCCTCACTGACCCTCTGCAGGTGGTGAGTCCACAGGAGGCTGCTCTCTGAGTGTGAGCATAGCCTTGATCTTTCAGTGGGGGCTTTGGGCAAAGTGGGGTTAAGTGTCTTGCCCAAGGACACAACGACAGCATCAGTGGGAGTTGGTGGAGAAGGTGCAGAGGTGGGAATTGAACCCACGACCTTCAGGCCTTAACCAACTGAGCTACTGTGGCCCCTCGTCTATGGTCCAGTTGTCGTTTAAGTCAATTTACATACATTTGCTTTATTGCCCAAAGAACTGTATCTTTTGATGGTTTCATTGTTGCAAGAGGACAGTCTATGATATAAAAGATATCTGATATTGTTGCAGCCCTGTGTGTGAAACAGTGCTAGAAAAAGGGAAGTAACAAAGAAAAGGCCATCTGAAGATTTATATACAAGCAAATACAATTCATCCTGGAAAACATACTTACAAAATCAACCACTTTCAAATCCTTGACAAACATCAACATTTCCTGACTGTGTGCAAAATACTTGAATTATGGTATCAGAATGTGTTAAGAATATAATTTTGAATAAAAGCCACAAGCATATAATTTTCATTGGGAGGTAATGTGGGGCACTATAAATAAAGCATTAGACAAAAAAAATTGATGAAGCTGTAAGTTTATATACCCTGCATGTCAAGATTTTTAAGTTTTATTTCTCATCAGTGTCTGAAATGAAACTTATAAAGAGATAAAAGAAAACTGGCCTACAATGTGATCAAAGAAAATAACGTGTCTTCATCACCTGGCTTCTAGTGTAAATATACTTACAATATACTTGTAAATATACTTCATTTATTTGCCATTTGCAGTAAAACCACATTGGAAAAACTGTGCAAGACTACCCCAGTGTGCACCACTTTTATCATTTACTCACCATTTTGTGATTTTTGATGGTGTTTGTTTTTGCGAGTTTGGCAGAGACCGTCGTCGCTCTCCACCAGAGGGGTCAGACACGGGCCGCACTCGGTGGATCCCACTCTGCAGAAGCGGCGGCCGGCTTTAGCACAGTCTATGCGCGAAGGGCATCTGGGATCAGCTGAAAACACACAACACACAATAGGACTTCATGACAGTCCAGAAATATGTATAGTGAGTCTATAATTATCCTACTAGAAAGAAAATTAGGCAAATAATCCAGAAAATAATGTATTTGCAAATGATGGTGGAAAATAAGAAAAGTCCATCTCATTACTATGTCCCCTTTGTTCACACACTGCTGCTGGAATTTTGGCCCATTTCTCCAGCTGGATCTCCTCTAGAGCAGTGATGCCTCTGAAGACAAACAGCCCCAAAGCATGATGTTTACACACCCATTATTCACAATAGGTATGCTGTTCTTTCAACCAAAAAAATCTATTTCGCACACGCACACACACACACACACACACACACACACACACACACACAGAACGGCCAAATCAAGGTGTAAATTAGGCGTATGGAAAAAAATTCAGCTTTTCGGCATTTATAAATCTGGAAGTTGTTGAAATGTTTGTTTAAATGATCCTGGACTGTGAAAGGCATTATACAAGTAAACTTCATACTCAGGTAGTTTATAAGTTAAAAAAAGTTGATTTGTTGTTTAGTTGTCCCTGATTTTTACGCTATATGTTTTTTTCTCATTCATATCTGACAAAGCAATGCATTTTTTCATTTGTTTGTGCATCATTTTCATTTGTGCACAAAGCCTCACGCACTCCATAAACGCTCTGATGGACTGTGGTCTGGCCAAGACCCGGTGATCCAAGATGGCGCCCTATTCAAATGAATGGCTTGTGCTCAGTAGTGCATGGGACTTACAGGAGGACCGAAAGACTAGCAGAACTCGCCTGTATTTGGGCATTGTCTGGTCGTCCCGGTTCTGTGCAGTGGACAAGCTCCCATGATGCGTTGCACCAAATTTGCGTGTGTGGCTCTCATGCACGGGCACAGAGGGGCTCGGCCGCGCTCTGACCAATCAGAGCTGATCAGAGCAGCGGTAGAGCAGAGTCAGAGCGGGAAGGAAAACAGCAGAGTTTGTGGCAGTAAAGTGTGGATTTAAAGTGATTGTCTGGAGTTTGTCAGAAAGAGAGAGAGAGAGGTACATGATTTGAAAAAAATCGACGCAAGCTCCTCCCCCTTCCTTTCTGATTGGTCTACGCCTACGTTTCCGTAACACGTTTAAATGTTAATGAGAGAACATATTATACATATACATTATTAATACACATGCACGGAGGTTTTCAGAATTATTTGTTAACTTTTAAAAAAAATAATGTTTTTATGCACAAAAAAAGCTATTGCGGCAAACCAGGAAGTGCTATTATTATGAACTGCACATTATAGAAACATCTGCAGAGGATCTGATTATGGATATAGGTTCATATATATATGATTATGGATATAGGTTCATATATAAATGATTATGGATATAGGTTCATATATAAATGATTATGGATATAGGTTCATATATAAATGATTATGGATATAGGTTCATATATAAATGATTATGGATATAGGTTCATATATAAATGATTATGGATATAGGTTCATATATAAATGATTATGGATATAGGTTCATATATAAATGATTATGGATATAGGTTCATATATAAATGATTATGGATATAGGTTCATATATAAATGATTATGGATATAGGTTCATATATAAATGATTATGGATATAGGTTCATATATAAATGATTATGGATATAGGTTCATATGTAAATGATTATGGATATAGGTTCATATATATATGATTATGGATATAGGTTCATATATAAATGATTATGGATATATAGGTTCATATATAAATGATTATGGATATAGGTTCATATATAAATGATTATGGATATAAATGATTATGGATTCATATATAAATGATTATGGATATAGGTTCATATATAAATAGGTTCATATATAAAAATGATTATGGATATAGGTTCATATATAAAAATGATATAGGGATATAGGATATAGGTTCATATATAAATGATTATGGATATAGGTTCATGATTATGGATATAGGTTCATATAAATGTTCATATATATATGATTATGGATATAGGTTCAGTATATATGATTATGGATATAGGTTCATATATAAATGATTATGGATATAGGTTCATATATAAATGATTATGGATATAGGTTCATATATAAATGATTATGGATATAGGTTCATATATAAATGATTATGGATATAGGTTCATATATAAATGATTATGGATATAGGTTCATATATAAATGATTATGGATATAGGTTCAGTATATAAATGATTATGGATATAGGTTCATATATAAATGATTATGGATATAGGTTCATATATAAATGATTATGGATATAGGTTCATATATAAATGATTATGGATATAGGTTCATATATAAATGATTATGGATATAGGTTCATATATAAATGATTATGGATATAGGTTCATATATATATGATTATGGATATAGGTTCATATATAAATGATTATGGATATAGGTTCATATATAAATGATTATGGATATAGGTTCATATATAAATGATTATGGATATAGGTTCATATATAAATGATTATGGATATAGGTTCATATATATATGATTATGGATATAGGTTCAGTATATAAATGATTATGGATATAGGTTCATATATAAATGATTATGGATATAGGTTCATATATAAATGATTATGGATATAGGTTCATATGTAAATGATTATGGATATAGGTTCATATATAAATGATTATGGATATAGGTTCATATATAAATGATTATGGATATAGGTTCATATATAAATGATTATGGATATAGGTTCATATATAAATGATTATGGATATAGGTTCATATATAAATGATTATGGATATAGGTTCATATGTAAATGATTATGGATATAGGTTCATATATAAATGATTATGGATATAGGTTCATATATAAATGATTATGGATATAGGTTCATATATAAATGATTATGGATATAGGTTCATATATAAATGATTATGGATATAGGTTCATATATAAATGATTATGGATATAGGTTCATATATAGCTAGGTAAAGGCAAAGGTAAAGGTGAACTTTAGGTGGCCGTGCCCTCAGTTTAATTGCCATTTGCAGTAAAACTACATTTGAATACCTTGTCAACCAGACATGTACATACAAAAATAAGTTAAATGTGTTTTTGATTGTTAGCTCCACTTGAGGTTAAATAAGCTCTAGCCTGATTATGACGCTTGGGAAGAGAAACAGACATTCACTCTGGGATAAAGAGAAGTGGGTCAGGGCATGCAGCCGGTGAGACAGCAGCAGGGAACAGCAACAGTGACACAGTGGTGCAGAAACAAATGAGATTTATACTTTATTCTGTTTTGAATAAAAACAAATGTTATGTGATGAGGATTTTATAAAATGTAAAATTGGAGTGAATGAATAGCGCCATGTGAAGCGTCTTTGTGAGTCCAGAAAAGTGCTAAATACATACATTATGGGGATGGGTTCGAATCCTGGTCAGAACAGGGCCTTTGTGAGTCGAGTTTACATGTTCTCCCCTTGTCCATGTAGGTTTCCTCCAGGTGCTCTGGTTTCTCCTAGCACTAAAAATATGATGTGTTCATTAACATGTACTGTCCCAACCAAATAAGTATTAAACTAAACTAAACTACATTTATATGACTAGCACAGTGGGAGCTTCCATGAGGATCATCCATGGGGTTGTGAATGCAGAAGCGCGGCAGTGGATCAGGTGAAAATCCACTGGAGGAATGCTAACTTTTTGAAGAATGCTAATGAAGCATTTAGCATTTTACTTTGGACCAGAGCAGAGAAAATGATCCAAACCAAGCGGTTACTCCACCTTTTGACCCGTCCTGCTCCACCCAGAGGCTACTCCACCTCTGCTGCTGTGACCCATCCTGCTCCACCCAGAGGCTACTCCACCTCTGCTGCTGTGACCTGTCCTGCTCCACCCAGAGACTACTCCACCTCTGCTGCTGTGACCTGTCCTGCTCCACCCAGAGACTACTCCACCTCTGCTGCTGTGACCCGTCCTGCTCCACCCAGAGACTACTCCACCTCTGCTGCTGTGACCCGTCCTGCTCCACCCAGAGACTACTCCACCTCTGCTGCTGTGACCCGTCCTGCTCCACCCAGAGGCTACTCCACCTCTGCTGCTGTGACCTGTCCTGCTCCACCCAGAGGCTACTCCACCTCTGCTGCTGTGACCCATCCTGCTCCACCCAGAGACTACTCCACCTCTGCTGCTGTGACCTGTCCTGCTCCACCCAGAGACTACTCCACCTCTGCTGCTGTGACCCGTCCTGCTCCACCCAGAGACTACTCCACCTCTGCTGCTGTGACCCGTCCTGCTCCACCCAGAGGCTACTCCACCTCTGCTGCTGTGACCTGTCCTGCTCCACCCAGAGGCTACTCCACCTCTGCTGCTGTGACCCGTCCTGCTCCACCCAGAGGCTACTCCACCTCTGCTGCTGTGACCCATCCTGCTCCACCCAGAGACTACTCCACCTCTGCTGCTGTGACCCGTCCTGCTCCACCCAGAGGCTACTCCACCTCTGCTGCTGTGACCTGTCCTGCTCCACCCAGAGGCTACTCCACCTCTGCTGCTGTGACCCATCCTGCTCCACCCAGAGACTACTCCACCTCTGCTGCTGTGACCCGTCCTGCTCCACCCAGAGACTACTCCACCTCTGCTGCTGTGACCCGTCCTGCTCCACCCAGAGGCTACTCCACCTCTGCTGCTGTGACCTGTCCTGCTCCACCCAGAGGCTACTCCACCTCTGCTGCTGTGACCCATCCTGCTCCACCCAGAGACTACTCCACCTCTGCTGCTGTGACCTGTCCTGCTCCACCCAGAGGCTACTCCACCTCTGCTGCTGTGACCCATCCTGCTCCACCCAGAGACTACTCCACCTCTGCTGCTGTGACCCGTCCTGCTCCACCCAGAGGCTACTCCACCTCTGCTGCTGTGACCTGTCCTGCTCCACCCAGAGGCTACTCCACCTCTGCTGCTGTGACCCATCCTGCTCCACCCAGAGACTACTCCACCTCTGCTGCTGTGA